GAGCTCAAGGAGGGGGAGGGAAGAAGGAATGAGAGGGGGTAAAGAGGAGAAGGTTGGGAGGAGCGGCTGGGTGGGGGAGGTTTGGGAGGGAGTAGGGGGAGATGAGGAGGTGATGAGGGCTGCAACAAACTGCCCAGATTGCACACAACGGTAAATAAACGTTGAATTATAGTCAGAATGGTTGATTTTTGGTTGAGGTCGACAAATGATGGTGGATCAACCATCAAACAATCATCCAGCTCCAGCCAAGTAACCAATGTTGAAACTGTGTCATTGAATCAATGTTGTTTTGTGGTTGAAATCTAATGAATGAAATGCTGATGTCTGATCAACGTCTGATCAATGTTGAATCAATGTCAGCTATTTTGCCGCACCCCTTCCCCTCCTCTCCTCCTCATCAGAGCTCTGGGTCAGAGCATTTTATTAGTGAGTGGAGGTTATCACATTTTAAATTAACCACTGTAAAGAATAGTGGGTGAAGATTCATTTCTGTACATTTTCTTTCTTTTTCATAAAAAGTCCTACTGAATGTTTGTGTGTGATACATTGACACAAAAACATCTACAACTTACTACAAGGAGTGGAGTGGTCCACCCCCTGCTATTTATATTGAGGCGTAGATGGGGCCAGGTGAGGGGTGGGGGGAAAGGGGTGTGTGTGTGTGTGTGTCTTTGGCGAGTGGAGGGAAGGGGGTTGGGCGTTTGAATGGCGGGTGGTGGTGGAGGGGTGCAAAAAACAGCTTACATTGATTGAACATTTAGATTACTAGTTCTTCCCCAAACCTTATCCTCAAGGCAAACTGACCTGCATGCTTTCAGTTCAGCAAAACCCTGTTAATCAGATGTCAATTAAAATCATGTGTGCTGAATTAGGGAAATGCCTAAAACTTGCCTGGTGGACCGGTGCTGAAAAACACTGGATTTGATGTTGGCATTTCAATCAATGGATGTTAATTGGTTGATCCAGCTTCTGTTGTTGATCTTAACCATAAATTCAACCTTTGTGATCATAATTCAACATTTAATTAACATCTCTTGCAAACAAGCCAACAGCAAAGTGGCTGTGTGGTTGGGCCATCCCACTCATGTAAATGGTGGGGGTGGACCGCTCCACTCCTTGTAGTAAGTTGTAGATGTTTTTGTGTCAATATATCACACACACAGTCAGTGAGAATTGTTATGAACAAGTAAGAAAATGTACAGAAAGGAATCAGCACCCACTATCCTCTACAGTGCTTAATTTAAATGTGATAACCCCCGCTCAGTAATAAAATACTCTGACCCAGAGCGCTGATGAGGAGGAGAGGAGGGGAAGGGGTGAGGCAAAACAGCTGACATTGATTCAATATTGATCAGATGTTGATCAGACATCGGCATTTCAGTCATTAGATTTCAACGACAAAACAACATTGATTCAATGACACAGTTTCAACACTGGTTACTTGGCTAGAGGTGGATGGTTGTTTGGTGGTTGATCCACTGTCATTTGTCGTCTTCAACCAAAAATCAACCATTAATCAGACTTCGGCATTTTAGTGATCAGATTTCGACCACAAAACAACGTTGATTCAATGTCACAGTTTCAACGGTTTGATTGGATGGTTGTTTGATGGTTGATCCACCGTCATTTGTTGACTTCAACCAAAAATCAACGATTCTAACTATAATTCAACGTTGATTTAACGTCGTGTGCTATCTGGGGTGAACGTTTGGTCATCTGTAGCAAAGGATGCATCTGCAGCTAAAAATTCCTTCTAACATCAACATGTGAAATCTCAGGCCTTTCTGCTGCACTTAATATCAATACACTGCAGGGCTAATAATGTAGATTTTTTTATTATCCAATTTATAACAGCAAAAGTACTTAATAGGAGATTATTATTTTAGAATTTGAACCAAGTGGAGCTAAAACTGTCATTTCTGGATATCAAGGTTCTTTATGACTTACATTTTTTGAATAGAATTGTTTTACTTACTGCTCTGAGGGTGTTATTCTTTCAGAAAATGGCATGTTTCAGAGTCTGTGTACTTCAGTTAGCAATTATTCAACTGATAAATTTGTTGAATGTTTCAATTATCGATTCATTACAATTGATCTGATGAACTGCTGCTGTTGTGAGGTTTTAGTGGATTACTTGTGATTTTTCAGGTCCTATCAGTCAGAAGATGTATGCTGTTCTGCCCTGCGGAGGAATAGGGGTGAGGCTCTCTATACTCTGTGTTAACCTAACCTCTATCAGAGGTCCTAACCTACGCTCCATGCTGCCCTCTGCAGGTGGACAGTGACACTGTGTGGAACGAAATGCACTCATCAGCAGCAGTTCGCATGGCAGTGGGCTCAGTTATTGAGCTGGCCTTTAAGGTGGCTGCAGGAGAGCTGAAGGTAGCACACACAAAAATTCTCCTCAGTATCATGTACCATCCGAACTGACCTTTACTCTTAAGTGTATATTTTTCTATCAGAACGGCTTTGCAGTTGTGCGTCCACCTGGTCACCATGCAGAGGAATCCACAGCCATGTCAGTATCTCTACCTCTTTATTTTTTAAAATAATCTACATGTTTTATCAGATCTGCAAGCCTAGGTTCTGATAGAGCTGTGCCTGTTGTGTGGACACAGGGGCTTTTGCTTCTTCAACTCAGTAGCCATCACTGCAAAGCTGCTGCAACAGAAGCTTGGAGTGGGGAAGATCCTCATTGTGGACTGGGTGAGAAGCACAAAAACACAAGCATCACATACAGAGGATGTTCTACTAATTTGTGTTACTTTTAAAACAGTGGAGGGATTGTAGGATCTATAAATTATTAATCAAATTCATTCGAAAGCAATATACAGACAAAATAAGCAGTATTTTCAATTCATAAAGCCCTTTTTAAATCTGGAGCATTGGGGACATCTGTGCTGCTGCAACATGGGCAGCATTGAGACTGATTTTTAGGCCTGAGTAGCTTTGTATGGAGGACCAAATAGATGCACAAGAGGACCCTGTGCATCTTTATGTTAATGAGGAGGCCTGCCTTCTATGTCCACCTCCTCTACTATTGGCCAGCAGAACTTTGGAACCAACGTCACTGCGTCAGACGTTGTAGGGCGTTTAGGTCTCACGCAGCCGCTTGGTGCCATCTTTACAGGCCACAGATCAAAACAAACTTTATCCCGGTGGTTTTACTGCATTACTGACTGCAGTGAAGTTAGTTTTGAGTTGGATATTGGATATCCCAATATCCGCCGAGCAAGCGGCGTTTAGCTCAAGGTTGATCCGATTTATGAACACTAATTTCGGCCAGTCGTTCTCCAGCTCCCTCCTCAGCGCTCGGGGGTTTACTTAGGGACTGTCAATAAATCTTCAAGCAAAACACTCCTGTCAAACAAATGTTAATAAATGCCTTGCCTTGTGACCAACTGATACAAAAAAGTGGTAGTTTATGCTTTTACATGAGACATAAAAAATATAAAAACCTCTAAAAAGAGGAAAAATTAGTTTACATCAACTCTCCAGTCTAGTAAAAAAATTCACACTGATTTTGACTCAATAGGTCACATGACCTAGAAGCTATTGAAGACAAATACTAAATTTAAACTAAAAAAAATAGGTAACAAAAATAAAAATGTAGTTAAAATGGAATAGAAATGCATGTGCCTCATATATAGAGTTTAGTACAACAATTACGTACTGAGTTCTAGTCAATGTGGCACACAATATGGAAGCTATTGAAGAAAACATTATATTATTTAATATTAATATTATTTAAAATATTGAATATGACTTGACATTTTAATAGAGAGTAGTGTGTCTCATGTAAAAGCATGAATTACCACTTTTTTGTATCAGTCGGTCACAAGGCAAGGCATTTATTAACATTTGTTTGACAGGAGTGTTTTGCTTGAAGATTTGTTGACAGTCCCTAAGTAAACCTCCGAGCGCTGAGGAGGGAGCGAGAGAACGGCTGGCCGAAATTAGTGTTCATAAATCGGATCAACCTTGAGCTAAACGCTGCTTGCTCGGTGAATATTGGAATATCCAATATCCAACTCAAAACTAACTTCACTGCAGCTGCAGGCAGGTTCCTCATTAACATAAAGATGCCCATGGAGAAGTAGAAAAAGGACAAATAGAAAAAGGAGAGGAGGCAATGACAAAAGGACAGCCTGTATAAGGAAAAGACAAAACAAAATATCTACTTTTCTTGTCAAAAACGCATGCTTAGGGGAAATGAAAGAGAAAATATATACATTTCTTGACGGAAATGTATGTGTAAGGACAAGGAAAAACTAAATATATATTTATGCTTTTATTTCTTATTATGTCAGTTTTGGTCCTCCATAGCTTTGATGAAAGACCAGCTCCTTTTAGCACAAGTTTCACACAACAGTAGTCTTTACCAATGTCCCATCAAATCAGTTTTTGATGCAAAAATAAATTTGATGCACATATAGTCAGCCATCGTGCGTCATATTTATGAACATACTAAAAACACAATACAAAGGTTCCAGCTTGAGACTTTGTGTGTAAATAAAAGAAAATGGGATTGATTGCATTGAAACTTTAACACATTAAATTCTGTGTAATTAATTCATTGAAATTAATGCGTTAAAGTCTTCACCCTGATTTAAAAAAAAAATTGACATTCAGTATCTGACACGCTTTCCATGTTAAAATTAGGAAGACTAATTAGGGTCAAAACAAACACCTTTAGTAGTGCTGAAATATGTCTAATTCACTTTTATAGGCTATAAACTAAGATTTTCTGTAGCAAACACATAAAACCATAGCAATTGTTTTTTAATTCCAACCACCTCAAACAAAAGTTTAAGATAAGGTCATGGATGCTGTGTTAGAGAGTCATTCTCATGTGCAGCACGTATAGTCTCCTCAGTCTGAGCACATGTGGCTATATGGCAATGTTGGTGCAACAAAAATGAATTACACTTATTACATTTCTTAGTTTTTAAAGAATGTAAATGTTCTGATTTTTCAGAAGGGATTTTAGTGCCATGTGTGAATATTCAGGCTTTGCTTTCAGTTCAGCATCATTA